AGCCAAATGTCTAATTTAATTTTAATTACTGAAAAGCTTATACTGATACCCTCTGAATTAGTGATAGGAGGGCATTCAAAACACTTCAGTCATTATTCCGCCTGACTAGTCAGGTTCCTTTTTCTTGTAATCCACATTTCGTACAGCTAGAATAGAGTAAAAATGTTATTCAATTGAACTGATATTAATTTAATAAAGTTGGGTAAATTAGTCTTACTATTTAAGTGATGTTGATGAAAGAAATTGAACCAAAAGTTTAGGTTAATTCATTTCAGCCACCTTGATATGGATGTTTCAAACTCTGTGAAGACACAACTTCAGATTTTCAGTATCAGTCACCAGTCCATATTGTTACATTAAGATTGATTGACTAAGTAAAACTGTCTTATAACAGTTTCAGTAGCGACTAGTGAGTGAAATGATAACTTGATCCATGTGTGTAGATAATGTGTCAAGTTTGAGGAGTTTAGCTCACATTTACCCAACGTATATGTTAGAAGAGTAGACAGGAGACTTGGTTTTCAGTCAATGGCTCCAAGTGTAAGAAAATAACTGTTTGGAAAATGCCTCCTGAACGATATTGCTACTTATTTAGATATTCCAACTAACTTTCTAACTATTATACTTTATTCTCCTAGACTGTATATCACTGTTCTGGCCTTCGCATATCATCTGTTGACTTATTCCTTATTATTTGTCTTTGTTCTTGTCTAACCTTTAGCTCTAATGCTTTTCTTTGTAGTTGTGTAACTATGTTGATAATGTGTTGATTTGCGATGCGATTTTGTTTGAGTGAATGACCTTGGACTGTCTTTGGGAATTGTTTGGTCAGTGATTCTTGTGGATAGAGTTTTTGATCCTACCTTGTTGGAAATACTCTTCTTGAATCCCAGATACTTCATACGGTTGATTTTGGTTATATAATTCCGTTGCATAGTACTTGCTTTGTACTCGAGAAACGACTGAATCTGTATAGTTACCAAATAGGATTTTTGAGGTAATTTTGCGTTTCCATATATTATGACTGTTGAATAGTACCACAAATAACTGTCTTTTTTGTCAGTGGGGTATTTTGTGACTGTGAGACACCCAAGAAAGCTTTGTTCTGCTATACAGTAGGATGTAAAGATGGATTTCCTGTGTTCAGACTACAACACGTCGAGTAACTGAGTTAGAAGTGTTTATTAGAAGTGAAGCATGAATTGAAAAAGACATTAAATAATTACTCTTAGCATAAAACAGTTAGTAAAGGCAGCTCAGATTTATATCAGATGTTTTGTGGCACAAGTACACAATTTTAGGAAACATGGTCGAGCTCCTGTGGATAGATTACTGGGAACACAGTACAACACCGAGAACGCCCGCTTCAGTTTAGTTGTATGACTAGTAGCCGAAGCGATATCAGTCAATACTAGAAGTCCTGACCTCTCTACGGAAGAGAATTTTTCTCAAAAGCTCCATATAAATATCGACAGTTAACATTTTAAATCCCTATCCCTTTCTTTACCTTCCGACCTTTGTTTCACAAATAAACTCTTATTTCAGACCTTTTATTATATCATTATCTTGTTTAGGAAGTCTGTTACCCTTCAGCTTACGTAATGTTTACCAAACTTGTTACTGTATTCACACAATCTTTTTGATTCTACTTTGTTAAGATTCTTCATTACCTGATAATTGTTTACTAAACAGTACTTCTATACTCGCACCATATAATCGTTATTAGTTTATCATTATTCTATCGTTTTTTTTGTCAATTTTGCATTTACGTCTAGCACATCCAATTCGCTTGTTTACTCTTCTGTAGTATTCGTATCAGCTACCAATCCATTGTCTATCCCCACACCTTGAATCTTGTACATTTTGTTGATTATAAATCTGCAAAACTGTGATTTAATCATTTTATGTCTTGTTTTTATTGACTATACATTTTATATAGATGATTTAAACGATAATCAAAACTATCTGACTATCATTATTTATATTTTGATTTTGATTTTTTTTTTGATTTACAGCTTGATTCCACACCATATTTTCAGTACAAGTATGGAATTTTCAGCATGGATATCGGTAGCCGAAATTCAGGCCGACCATAGATATCGGGTGTGCGCCGGCAGGGGATCGAACCCCGGACCATGTGCATGATCGGCGAGAGTCCTAACCACTGTGCCACCGACGCACAGGTTCTTGGTTGCTTCGCTGACAGAGTTCCTCGTTGTTTATCCTTCCTGGCCAATTATCCGGTTTCCAGTATCAACCGAAGACAGTCGTTGATTAAAATCTGTAGTTGTCTGCGGGAAGTGTCTTTTGTGACGTGCGCACCAAGTCTCTGAGCATATAAAATGAAACAGGCTAATGCTGCAGCAGTCTTATCTTCACACAAGCAAATATTACCAGATATTCCAATATTCTGTATACTTTATTCGCGTATATCACACAAACCAGTTTGGTCCAAATGTGATGAGTCTTGCGCTACCAACCAAACAACTGTAATGCTACGTGAGACTACTACTGTAACGACAGAAGACAAGGGCCAGGCAACAGATCCTTTATTGAGAAAATCAACAGATTATTCAGTACTGCTTATGACCGTTGCTCACAAGCTTATATGTCTGCGAATCGTATTTGCACACGCTGAGTCTGCTGTGATTGGTTGTTGAGTTCCTCAAGGTTAGGCTTTGTTGTTTTTTCTCATGACCCCGGTTCGGGACGTAAACATTAACATAAACTGTTGCTTACAATTTTGGCTTGCAGACAGCTCTCACCACACTACTACTACACAGGAAAGACATATAATTCCATCTAATGAAAACTAAATAATTTCTACATACGTGTTATTCACACACTGAGAAATAACAATGACTCATCGAAATCAAATAACCCATCTTTTGAACATGTGTGATAAAAAACAGCTAAAAGAAGAGAGTTATGTTAAGGCAACATAAAATAAGTTATTGGTCTAAAGTCCTTTAAAATAAATACATTGAGTCAGGGTAAATTTACAGGTGAAGCTAAAGAATAATGATGGTCAAAACAAGCAGTCGACTGACTCAGGTTCGTGTCCCACCCCACTTATTTCAGTAACTCAGTAGTATCACTATTTCTCACAACGATAGTAAGTGTGACTCATAACTTAGATCAGTGCTTTCAATTCTTCTTGTTGCCCTAACTTATTTTCTGTGTACTGGATGCTCCAGTTTCTGGTTTTCACTCTTTCTCCTACCATTTAAATTACCTCTTTTATTGTGTAATAGTTTCATGGAATACACTACGATTACCCGGTTGGTTTTAATTAATTTTATGTCGCCTATACCAAGGATTGTAAAGATATGAAAACGACTACTTTTTCTGCATCCACAGTATAAGATTGCAGCCGTCACAGAAATTATCTACGTCTTCAATATTTTCTGTCTTGTTAATCAGGTCATTAGAGAATTTCCACTTATAGTGGATAATTAGCAAGTCCTTGCTGATTTTATTCAGTGCAACAATAGTTCACTGGAGTAACTGTCCAGAAATCAGCAGCTAGCTGAGATTAATTCACTAATTTAGCTACACTTGTAATATGCGTGGTTGTCAGTGAAACATGCATACAGAGATTAGATCATCTCCATTTGGCTAGTGATAAAAATGACTATCTGATTTTTTTAAAAATTGAAATTGTAACAGTTCACAGTTCCAGAGTTCATTTAGCACACAGTCTATAGTATATTAATCGTAAAAGATGTTTGCCTCGTGCACTGAATCGATGAAATTCAGCCCATGAATCCTAACTTCTACCAATTCGTAATTTTAGCGCAGCCACCAGTCAATGTCGTCGGCGAGTATTTGTCCTCACTCCCCACCGGATGGACCTCAATGGTCACGACTTCTCACTAGAACTCCATGTAACTTCATCCTGTAGCCAGTCAATGGCGTGCATCAGATTAATTTTCATAAGTTAGTTTGTCAAGATCGAATATCTACAAACTAACACTCTTGAAAATTTATTTTATTAGCAGTAAAACAATAACCTGAGAAACATTATTATTTTTTTAAATTGTATATTTTTACGTTACGTATAATGCTGAATATCGACTGTAGATATGTAAAAAAAATCTATTAACACATACGGATATAAGATAATGTAGATATATTTACAACTGGAAAAGGTCAACTGAACAATAAGTCAAAACATTACATTAAATTCACTTAATAATTACAAACTGTTCACCGTTGACACTAATTTCTTCAACTATAGTATCACCATTTCCATCATCATCATCAACTTCAACAACATCAATGAGATCCGGATCTAGCAGACTGTTTCCGTCAGCTGTTGAACTACCACTACACCCGGCAGCTGAGGTAGTACGAAGACTACCACCAATCCCCATGTGTGATGAACAATGTTTATGCTGATTACTGGTGTGTTGAGTTAACACCTCCATAGAATGAATCAGTGGGCCTAAACAACTAGCAATGCCATCCTCTATAAGGTGAGCTTGAATTAAAGCAACTATTAAACCCGGTGTAATAAGTGCAGGAGTTCGTGGGAGTGGATTCAACATAAACATTAATGGAGGTTGATCGTTATTATTATTATTATTGATAATTTCAGAGTATATATCGCATAGAGCTTTACGCTGTTTAATATAATAGAATCCCAAACGAAGACGTAGATTTCGACGAATATCCGACAATAGGATAGCCAACTCCCGCGGTGTAAGACAATGCAACAAACGATCCAAAGGAGCTGGTGGTAATGACAACGACGTTGTCGACGAAGTAATAGAAGAGGAGCGGGATGATGAACCAGGTTCTCCTTTCAATGACTTCTCTTCTGTTACCATAGTATCAAAGAGTTTTGTATTCTTCCGTTCTCCTTCTTCTTCTTCTTCTTCTCCTTTTTCTTGTAATTGTTGTTTTTCAAGACAATCTTGTGCATAACATACTTCCATTACAGCTAATAATATTTTACATGTGAATTTAAATACAGCTGAATTGGTATCCACCCTACGATAAGCGTAATCAATAGCTATCTGTAAATAATAATAAGAAGAAGACAATTAGCGATAAAAAAGAAACAGATTATAAGAAAGTATTGATGGCTAGACTACTTAAGATATCCTCAGGTTTATAGACTATTCACTGATATTTTGAGTGACGACTGAAAGTGAAGTGAGAATCCCAGTTGCATACGGATTCGAAGCAGCTGACTCAGAATCATGGGCTAAGTTTAGTTATCACCCATTAGATTTCGAAATGAAAAGCAAGATGAGGTTACCTATTGATATTCTACAAACATACAGTACACGCAATACAACGTATGACAGACAGCATTGCTAAGTCTATATGCAGAAAGTCTTTATGGGCGGGACAGTGTGCACACTTTAAGAGTTTTATTCCCATATAGTATATTTTTTTAAATAGTCACAACAATGTTCAATAGAGCACGGAAAATTTTGCTCTAACAATACAATGGAATATAAAATAAAGACTCTGAAAGATATTTTATCCAAAAATAGACATCCTAAGAGGTTTATAGATAAATATTCTAAAGAAATAAAAGCCAGTAAAACTATCCAAACCGTCTCAAAGAAGTCTGTATATGTCAATGTGCCATTTAAATGAGATGATCTAAAGGAAGTAGCTAAACAAAGACTTTTTAAAGCTATTGGAAGAACCTATTATACTGCGAAACTTGTCTTCCTTAACACCACCAAGTGGGTGTTTCAACAATCTCGGTTGCTAATCCTCGACACTTCAAATTGTGTACATCATTTTGAGTGTGTTTGTGGAAGCGAATACATAGGTCGTACAGAAAGGTGATTGTCAACATGCATGATGGAGCAGTTGCCCAGGTGGTTGAAAACAGCTGAAGTCAAGGTACCAAAACGTTCAATAACAAAAAATAGTATAGACTACGGAAATGATATTGACGCTTTCAAGTTATTCACTGTTGTCAACAGACAAACAAACAGAAAGATGCTTGAAGTTGCGTAGGCTTACATAATTATAGTTTATAAACCCCATCTCTACGTATAGAAGGAAACGATGGACATGGTATTATGTCTTATTATTATTATAGCCTATTGTCCTCATTGATTTTAATAGAAGTAAGTTTCAAAAAAGAAAACTGCATCATAAAATTAAATAAATTTCCAACGCAACAAAAGACAACACATAAGTTAATGGTTTAGTGGTAGAATGCTCGCAAGTCACACACGTGGCCCACGTTCAATTTCTGCCTGACACACTATTAAACGTCACCTGGCAGCAGCCGGTAATAAGCGTGCGAAGTTTGGGCGTGAGACTATTGTTCTATTGTTCCACTAGCAAAGCACAAAGGAATGAGAAGGAAGGAGCAAAGCAAAAGGAAAAAAGCACATACCTTACGAGCATGCGTTTTACACGCTTCATTTGCACCGCATACAGGAAAAGATTGTTCCACATAACTAATACCATCTACTTGTATTAAAGTGTTTATAGCCTGCTGTATTGATATTCTTGGTGCAACTGGTGAAGCCCATACAGCTTCTAAACCCATTAAAATACCCAATAGGATTTTAGGAGACGAGAGTAATGGTAGAGGATCCAGAAAGTGTAAAACTGAAATTTAGAAGAATGAAAATACACATACTTTTTAAATGTTGACTATAAAATATGAACTAAAATCAATATATATAGTGGTCACACAGGTATATAAAATACAAGTGGAGTGGAATTAACCAGTCAGAGAGAGGGAGAGAGAGACACACACATACACATAATCATGGATACATAGATACATAGACAGGCACGTTAAACTAGGTCGGACTCAGTATAAAATCATATCAGGTCCACGTAATAAACAATATAATAATACAACATTAAAGAATTAGATGCTAATAACAGGAAGCCTTTTCATCATCTTATAAGTTTCCTCATTGAATAGTACATAAATCAAATGAAACCACTGAAGACACTGATAAACACTCATTTGATGACGCATTACAATATTGGAAACACACTTCAGTTTTACATGTTGAAATGATAACACAGAAAGCATTTCAAATCAAGAAATCCAAAAATATTCAGGAAGGTAAATACTACATATTGCAGCTCAAATTATCAATTTATATGCCACAAACTAGTTTCAAGATTTGTAAAGAGCACATGAAGATTGAAGTCAGTAAGACGGATAACAACTCAATAGGTTTGAATCAGTTAAGGGAATAAAATAAAGAATTAGGCATGTCAGACGATTGGAGGTAGTTGGTGGGAAGCCCTAAGCCTAGTTCTTGTGTTTATAGGAGTATCTGCTACACTGAAGGAAATGATGTCCCTTCAAAGATTCAAAATGGTGTAAAAGACGTTATAACTAAGCTATTCAAGATACGATTGAACTTCTGTAAGACTCAAGTGGATATGGCGACTGATTAAAAGAGAGAGTAGCCAGTGTCATATGTCAGGGCCATACAGCTGAAAGAGTTTTATTAGTCAAGTACACAGGGTCAAGTACGCGGAGTCAATTAGATTATCGTAGCCCAAAACACAAGCAAAATTTAAATTAGTTGACCATAACAGGATAAAAGATCTAGCAAATGCCTCAGCTATACCACTACACATAATCATACAATAGGATGGGATAAGACGATAGTCTTAAAATCTAATATAACAGGGTGGAGGGAGAGGCTGATAACTGGAGCAAAACTTATCAAATTAAATGAGAATAGGTACAATAGAAATGATTCAACATCTGCGGAATTCTGCCAACCCCGAGGCTAATAGGAAGGAAGAAAGAGGTATATAAATATCAAGTTTTAAGTTGCTTAGCTATAATTAATGATATGATTTGTGTTCGGAACGTCGTTATCCAGTAAGTTATACTGGATATATCTGCTAAACAAACTAACTTGGAATTATACAACCAGGTTACGAATCTGTGTGTTTACAGATAAAATCAAACTAGAATACGGTTACTTTCCAAATAATGATCCATTTATTGCAGTTTATATCTAACCTACAATACCTTCCAAGTTGTTAACTCAACATAAAAAATTTCTTATATTTAGCCAGCACTGTTGCACTTATTGATCTGCATGGTTTAATTACTAAACTTTTATTATCTATCTGAAAGAAATCTTTAGAAATAGCTTCAAAATCAATAAATGAGATTTCCGAATTCTCCACGAATCTTCAGTAATGCCTATGCAAACACGGACTTAACTGTAGAAGTTGAATCTGACTGGATGTTTCATTTCCTTGAGGTTCAATTGCGAAGAAATGTTGATAACTCTCTGGGGTGATCTATATACAAAAGGCTTCCAAGAAATGGGCGGTTTATCGTTCTTCAAATTTCTGTCCCTCTAAGCAGAAAGAGGAATCTAATCTAGTCTGTCCCCTGAAGGATCCAAAATTATGCACAGAGGGATCTGTTTATGAAAACCTGCAAAATATTTGAAGAATCTTGGTAGAAAATGGCTTCCTACCCAGATTCATAAACAAGAACCTGAAACTAAAGAAAGCTGCTGAACAGTTCCAGGTCACCCCTAGAAAGATTCTACTGCTGAATGTCAAATTTAAAAGTGGTATTGAAACACAACTTCCCCCAAAACAGTTTTCAAGCTCCCTCTCAGTGAAACACTTCACTACCAGCCTTACTAGTAACATTTTCTTACAGGAAACTATTTGATCAGCACATGAAAGACAAGCTGTCACACTAGGCCATATCAATATGCAGATATCAGTTCACTTGCTCTTGTAGAGTTGAGAACATTAGCCGCCGTAACATGCATCCACTTGTAAAGCACACTCAGGAACACTATCGAGTAACAGTAATATATATGGTGGACCCAGGAAATTCAGCTTCATTTGTAAAATCTTTTAAAGTACTACAGAAAGTTCAATCAAACATTTTAAGGGAAGTGTGACCAAGATATCTGGGCATAGCTGAAGCATCCGAAAATTCAAGCCGACAATACGTCCAACCTTTGTCTTTGCCATAACCATCATAAATAGTCAGTTTCCTCAGTAGTTAGCATTGGTTTGTGTTTTCAGCTTAACTTCTTGTTTATTATGTTCTCTACCCCTATTTGTATTACATAATTTTCATCTTATTTTTCGTTATAATTTAACCCTCAATCGGGAAACATTTCTTGAACTTTCTCACTCCTTTGTTATATACCCACGAATGTACGGCCTAGCTGTTGACTTTGTCTGAAAGAAAATTTTCTTTGCTGCAATCGTCCTTATGCTTTTTCAAGTGAAATAATCGTCTTTCCAGATAACCTTGACTGTAATTCATTGTCATCAAAGATTACCTTCTGACCATGTAACTTGGTCTTGATTACTTAATAAATCTGATTCATATCAAGGTGTTCGTAAATTACAGATTATTCAGAGTAACAGATTTCCAAGAATTCTCTGAAGTTTCTTCCGTTTAAGACTTCCTCTTTTCGTCAGTCCATAATTGTTCACATATGAAAAAATGAACAGCATGTCTTATAATTGTTAGCTCGTGTTAGTCGATGAGAAGACTTAATAAGCTTAGACTGAAGGCTTAATACTGAATTATACTACAGGTTATTAAAAAACAAAGAAAAGTATGTCTCTACTCACCTGATGATGTTTCACAAAAATACAATGCATATAAAGGCAATGGATGATAGAGTGGGGGTAATCCATAGCATTTTAAGCGTAGCTTCTCTAAAATAATTGATATTTCTAAAATTCCTTGTGATGACAACTGAATCATTGAATGTTGGGGATCATCTAATTGACTGCCAGCGCCACGCCCACCACCAGACATGAGTTGTTTAGCTTCAGGACAGAACCAATAGAGTAAGTTAATTACACGCTCTAAACCAACACCACTCGGTGGTAGGACTAAATTTAATGATGGGAATGGTAAACTTATTATTGATGTTTGCGGTAGATGGATGCCACTAGTCTGTATGACAACATCTTCTAATCCTGAGATTAAATCGCGATGCTGACCGTCGTCAGAGGCGAATACAAGAAAAGAATTATTGTTGACTTGTTGTTGAGGGGTTAAAACAATCGCCGACTCCGAATTACGAGTATTAAAAAGGTAATCACCACCCATAATAATGAATCGGATAAGACTTAACCAATGCAATTCAACTGGTTGCCAATCTGTAAACAAGAGGCGAGGAAAGAAAAGATGGTAAAAATACTCTCCGGGCAAAAAATACACAGAATTGTTGAAAACAAATTAAATAACAGCTTTAACATATCACTTTCTGCTAGGCTTCCATTAACAAAACAACGTCAACTGGGAAAGCACCAAGAACCACAAACCGCTGGATATCTGTTTCGTCCTACTTCGGCAGTACACCCACAAGTACACCCAGAATCGAACCCGAAACCTTCAGATTACAAGGCGAACCCGTTGATAATCCAGTTATTGGAATGAAATCCAATGATCCATGAGTTATAATCTCTTCTAGTTCGCGATATATAGTACGACCACCAGCTAGTGTCTGGTTTCACACCCGACTTGATGGATCCCACCGGTAACAACTTCTCATTTGAACTATATGAATGAAGTTCATACAGAAGTCAGTTACTGATGACTAGTGGATCAATCTCCAACTGTAGGGTTGTGGGGAAATGATCAGTTTAGGTCTAATTTGATCGCAACACTGTAGCGTCATGAGTGAACACTAGGACCAGAAAAATAACCTGTACTTCCTGGTTCTCAACATCCCACTAAGTGATGTCAGTTCGTGATGAAAATTTACTGGAAATCATTCTGTCTGGTGTGATTTATTTTCATCTTCTAGCAGACCTGCAACTGCGTAGCTGGTTCAGTGATAGAGTGCTCCCCAACCACAGTGAAAGTAGTCCAGGATTCAATTACCGACCGACGCACTGCAATAACTCTCTTAGCCAGTAATAAGTTCAGTAAAGACGGGATATTCGGTGTGAGGTTAGCAACCATACCCCATAAAAACAACACCACTGCTACTGAAACTTTAAGATTCAAGCTGAAAGCCCTGTGTTCCACTCAGAGGGTAAAGGAATGAATCATACCTGCGAACTTTCATATCATGTTGATTGACTCTTTTAAATTATAGCATTCTACCAAATGATGCATACAAAATCGTGATTGTACAGCTGAACTTCATGTTTACTCCCTAAACTCGAAATCAATCAAATCCCTAAGACACCAGCACTTCAAAAAGATAACTCCCTATTTCTTAAAGTTGTATCGTCTTAACACCAAAATATAACTGGATACTGGGTGCAATAATACACGGTATAAGATACATAAAATGCACAGTATATTTATATTCAGACACTTCAGACAAACCCCAAGATTTGTGTTAAAACTGTGCCTGAGCTATTTATATGCATAAACTTATACACGAAACCTACTATTTAGATACATTAATTCTAATAGTAAAGAAATGGCAGAAAGTATCAGATACATTTCTTTACAACAATATTCAGAATCGTATCATTGCACAAGCACAACGATTTCTTGTATCTAAACGCATTATTATTCATTCTAAATGGAATTACTAATAATGTTCAACTTTTATTTATTGCTTCCATAAGTATCGACCGTAACAGATCAAAACTCGCAGAAATCCTTTTCCAAGTAAATTAGCAAATGAACTCAAATAGTTTAATAAATCCTATTAACTGGGAAAAGTACCAAATCTGGTAATAAAATGTTATATCTGGTGAGAACTTAGTCAGCCAGTACCACGCTATGAGGCATACAGCTAGCTAATGTATGAGGGGTAATGACACTACACAGTTTTCCCAGACTGAATGACGTAGATGAAGCGAGATTGGATGGCTGTAAGGTATGGTCATTGAAAGTGAAAGACCTGATGATGAGGCTAGCTATCTTTGTTCACAGATGTTTGTGTTCTATTTCCTGTGTCAAGTGGTATAATACGGTGAGTGACATTGAGGTAGTGTAGTGTGAGGTAAGGAAGGAAAGTCAATTGGTGAAGTTGTGAAATTACATCAACTGCGATAGCTAGGACGGGTGTTGGGCATGCCAAGCCATCTCCTCCCTCATCGAGAAATGTTAGCTGACATAGGATTAGGTTGGAAAAAAGTTATGGGTGATCAAAGCAAAATGTGCCGTCAATTGATGAGGTCCTTAGTAGCCGGTTTGGGCCACGTGATGGAGGTGTAGACTGTCTGGTTAGGATACTTGGTATGCTAAGAATAGATGGCTGGAGTCTATTGGTGATATGGCTCAAAATAGTTCTGAGTGGTGCAGATGCATTCCATTTTTGTAAACTCTCACATCCATTAAGCTCTCATATTCTTTCATGTTACTATTCTGTCTCGTACATTTCTGATTGTTACAGTCCTTTTCAATCTCTTTTCTTTACCTTTGTGTGCATACGGCAAGTTGAACTGCTGCATTTTTCAGCGAAGCCCAGTCAGCTGAACCCTGGACACATCGGATGTCAACTGAGTGCACAAACCAATGAGTCACATCCCTGTTTATAAAAAATACACTTGTGAACAAACAAATACTATGCCTACAACAGAAATGTAAAAAGAAACAAACAATTATTCCACATACTAATTCCACTGATTTTTTGTTTCTTTATCATATTTAGCATAGGGTGAAAATCAAGACCACGTGGACCATCACCGAGAGTGCCCTTCATGTTTATTGGTATAACACCATTAATGATTGTTATTTCAGTGTTTTTGTTCATTCTAGGCTTTAGTTGGCCACGAATTAAACTGTCATCAAATGTTTGATCAGTTTTCTTTGGTGGATTATTCAACAACAAAAGATTATGGTGCAATTTTGACGGGATACCAGTAGATGATGATGTCTTATTGAAAAGACTTGAAGGGAGGTATGAAATGTTGCTTGAATTGAATAAATCATGATTGTCTGTTATTGTGGGTATAACAGCTTTGAATAGGTCGTCTAGATTAGATTCTGTACAATCAGACTATTAACAAGGAAAGAAAAAAAAATCAAAAATCACAAAATATAAGCATGAACATGAGCGAATGGAAGATAGTACAAACAACCCGATCGATAGCTGCTAACTTGACGTGGTGGTTGGACTTGCATATCGTAATGACTTAACAAGCTACACTGGCTGGACCTAATGTTGCTGCAGTTCCTACCATGTCAGGAAGATTGTTAGGATAGCGACTAGTTACCGGTATAGTGGGGAATAGGGATGTGACAGCAATAAGGTGTTCCACTCAGATGACCAGCATGCCAACCAGCTATGCTATCTCTCCACTCTGGAGACAGGGGGTTAGAAAAGGTCTACCCCAAAAATTGTACATCCCAACTTACCCTACGGTGCTCCGTAACCGGCGGTAAGTTACTAATACGGAAGCAAACCAAAAAGCCAGTTCAGATAGGTCATGTATGGCTGGCCTCAAGCGGTTGTCCCCTGGGCTCTGTGGTCATGAAACACTAATCCTCTTTCTGTTACAGCTACCCCAAGAAAAAATCAACTTTCACAGTGTGGGCAGCCGGGAAGTAACAACGCCCACACACTTCTAAAAGCGCAAGAAACCCTCCTGATCATTAACCTCCTTTATCCCTGTCACCAGTCAGTCAGCCATTACAAACTGGTAGACACAGTTCTCTTTGGTAATCCAAAATATCCCTATTACAACAGGTAGTCTGCTTAATGCAATAAATAAGTGGCATTCAAGAATGCAAGCGATATAGCATGGAGGTATAATGTATATAATATTGATTGATATTAGTTATTAAAAACCACAGAAAATTTCAGTGGTTTGGGATGATTCGGCTTCTTAAACTGAGGTGCACACGGCTGATGAGTTCGTCCTAAACAAGCGGAATGACTGCTTAGTGTTTATGTTACTTCGATTTGGCTGGTAAGTCTTACCAACTGACGTGAGTGGTTTCCAATCAATCATAGTAGTTTATATGTCATATTGAAGTTGCTTGTCACTGCCTTAGTTAATCAGATTTTAAATGCTGCTACCAAATAATGACGGACATAATTCCATTAACTTACTGACAAACTACAATTAGTGTGTAAGGGCTGATGAGACCGTTCAACAGTCCAAACTTCGCTAGATGGGATGCGATTGAAAAACAACGATAATACCAACGACTGTGAGATATCATGCATGGTGTAACTGCCATACAAAACAATGCAGTGATAGTATGAATGTGCCATAGTCAAATTTTAGCATCACATTTAAGATAGATGTTTCGTCCTAGTTCAGGACTCAACATCAGTACGATTCCCTGAGGATGAAATCCAGGAGCTTCAAGTTATCAGGCGAATCTGCTGACCACTCGATCACCGGATCGGAATCTAAATATCAATGAGTTTCAATGTTTTCCCATTTGCATGATACAACGGCAGCGTAATTCAATGGAATCGGTGAGCAAATGCAATCACATCCGATATAGTGGACCGTACTGGTTACGAATTCTTATTACAATTCCAAGAATTTCGTCCCATAATCAGTCACTAATGTCCAGTGAATTAATTTTCAGGTGTTGGATTTCGTGTGGATTTGATTGATTTCAAGGTGGATTTCGCGACGAACAGATATTACCTAAAACAACACTTCTGAGAATTCGCGATATGTGGAGCCATTGCTAGCCAATGCTATCTATGAGTAATTGTCTTCACATCCCATCTAGGGGACTCTTTTGGTCACAACCCACTGAAATAACTTCAGGTAACTTCATCCTATATATTCAGTCACTAGGTTGTTTTTGTCAATGTGTAGGTGTGCAGGGATTCATGAACAGTTGATTCCCTTCAAACCAACACTTCAGAAATAAGTTTTTTTTTATAATAATATGAACTTACCATCATAGCCTTTGGAATTAATCGTAGAAGTGTAGAACGAAATATTGATAATTCTTCAAAAGAGTATAATATCTTTAACAGATTTCTTATTCTACCCAACAAATCAAAATAGATACATGGAGATGATGATGGGGGTGAGGTTGATTCCTCAGGGATAATGAATTCATTTGACATTCTAAATAATTGTGATATTAATTGAACAAAACTTTGTGCTAACAGTATACATTGTCCTGGAGATAAATGTAGAAAAGCTAATAATTGATGATGACGTTTAGGGGAGTTATTATTATTAATTGGCTTCAACACCTCCTTGCTTTGATATCCATGACGAGGTCGTGCAGTTATGAATGAACGTTGAGGATGATGTATGGCATGATGAAGATGTCTTGGATCAGATGATTTCATTAACAAAATATCATTATTGTTATTATTATTGAAACTGTTGAAATAAGAATGCAGCGGATCATTAGTTGACGATGAGAACTGAAATGAACTGAATATGCACTCACACAAGCTGAGTAGTAGATCTGTACACTGAAAAATGAAGGTACACCCGATCGCGAATAAAACAAGTGTTGTTACACACACATATCAAATAAGTGAAAAAATAAAGAACTAAGGTAATCTGGTCTAATGAAATAATCCACATTATTAAAATAAATTACTCAGTAAATATGGATATCCAAAAACTTTTATTGGTAAAAGTATGGATTTACCGTCAATGCAAGCAAACTAATATGTGAACAGCTTCGAAGATGCTGTTGTTTTCAAAATTCCTGCCCCACTGGTGACAATATCAGTGAAATAATAATAATAATAGGATGCCAAAAGAAGGCAGTCAAAATAGAGCATTCAATGCAGCAGAAGTACACTACTGTCTCTGTACAACCCCTCCAATGTTATATTCGGCAGATAAGGATAAGCTATCTAACTTTACCCTCCTAATGTATATCTGCATATGGATCCAGTTACACTGGGTGTAACCTTGCGCATATTTAACTTCGAATTTCTGAACATTATGGTGCCTGATTAAGAAAGGGACAAGCAAGCTATATGCATAACTTTGCAAATAAAGGTATTTAAAGTTACCTATCGTATTCTGACAAATCTTAATTTTAACGACTTCATCGTGTACATATAGCTGAAGCCATCAGAAATCAGCTGAAGAAGCCAAGCTTGTAGATTCGGAAGGAGTTCCTACAGCAGCTTTCTTCACCTCAACCATCATTACTTGATTGTGAAAATTTGACCAAAGTCATTTACAAGTTATTACTGCTGTTTGCACTATCCTACATTGCTCCACTAATTTCCTTCTTAGTTTTATCTTATATTCAACCTAGTAACATATTTTTATGCCTCATCGCTTACAGACGTTATATATGTCCAAACTAAGTTCACTTTTAACAGTTTGAAAAAGTTTGCGCATTGGGTATATGATATTCGAACAAGACATGTAAGCGAACAATATTGTTTTCAATGAGATCTTCTTCAGGCTTTACTCTAATTTACATAGATTTATATATATAAAAATTCTAACCAATGATGGTGATTTTGTGGATCTAATAATAATAATAATAATAATATGGTAAAAGTTTTGAACTTAGTTAATAAGGATGGTTATAATGATAATAAAATATTGATAATAAGGTTTATGCAGGTGGCGACAAGAATAACAAATGTAGTAATATATGTATATGTAGACAATTCAATAAATAAATTCGCTCAAATCTTAAAAGTTACGTAATACTAAAGGTGAAGTGGACAGATAATGAGTTTAAATAAATATCATAAAAGTACGAAGGAGATGGAAAATAAGAAAGAGTGGGAGGACTTTGAATACAATTCACCTAGGCTACGGGAGAGACAAAGGTAGAACAAACTTCTTTTGTATGCAAAGACTACGATTGGTTCTCGAATTCCCATAGCTTCGGCTGTGTGTAAAAGAGGGGTTCGAATTCCGCTCGAAAGGCTCGATGGAATGCGATAGATAACTTTGAAGGCACTATTTTTGTCCATTTGGTGACCACTATCAATCAAATGAGCCAAGATAGAACTTATAGATTTTATTTGACCTTTTCCAAACCATGAAGGAAGATGCTCATTAATGCGTTTGTAAAGCTATCTAGTTGTTCGCCCTATATAGCTCTCTCCACAGGAGCAGCTAAATTTATAGATACACATAGAATTGGCACAACCACGTAGCTTGTATTTCTGTATATCTCAATGTTTTTACTGACCTGGTTACAATGCCTATCCCCTATGAAATGACAAAATCAACACGAATGTGATAAGCAATCTCATTATGTAAACACACACTGCTTTTATAATTTCATCCAATAACCTACACCTGGTTTTGTTATCTTTACCAATTGGCCAATTTGACAACGAAAAACGACCCCATGATGAGGAACGATGATTGAGTTGTTATATATAAGCTGAGATTTTGAAAATTCTGATTTAATAATACTTTGGTAAAGCTATTAGCATTACATAGCGAAACGTCAGTTTTCGAAGTGTATTTCTATTGGTCCCTTTAACAGCTTGGTATTATTTAAGCAAAGCATTAACAATTTCGGTGGCACAGAGGTAGGATGCTCGTCAACCGCGCGTGTGGTCCGGTGTTCCATCCCCGTCCGACGCGATCCTTCACTACGCTAAGCCAGTACTAAGACTAGTAAAGAGGGAAGGTTGGTCATGAGACTAGCAACCCCATCCAGTAAAAAATAAACACCACTGCTACCAAAACTTCAAGCCTCTAGCTTGAAGCCTTATGTTTCACTGGTAACGTAAAGGACTGAAAAAAAATTAACAATGTCAATAACAGTTACTATTTAAACATCATTTGTGTACATATAACTGTAGAGCCAGATAAAGAAATTATCGAAAGTGTGAATATTCTTTGCTCGGTTATTTTGTTTCTCAATGTCTAATTGGAATTTATCTATTTAATAAGCAACGAGTCATAACAATTATAAGAAAAAGGCCTTTGTGCCTTTTTCTTATGACTCAATATGGGAATATTTCGTTCATAACAATTATATCAAAAAATCTCTGTTGAAGACCTTATCAAACATTCAACGGTAAATGTTAGTGTTACAGGTTGAGCTTGAATAGTTTTCACTGGTAACATTTCTGACTGCAGTACTGGGTGATGCGGTATCGAATCTCAGAGGAGACATTAGTTTCGTTAAGGTTGTAGATACACCTTGTTGACAAGTGCCAACAAGCACGAAACCTAGGTCATTCATGGCCTCCTTCTGATTGCTTCCAAATATCTAAATGACACAGTATTCATTCACTGAAACAGACTGAAATAAGTAAAGAAATGATCAATGTATTGACATTATTTCTAATTTTCTGTTGACTGATTTTAATGGAGGGGAAAGCTCAGTCTCTACAAACATGTTTACTCAAAGCACCATCGAAACATGTGTATCAGGAGCCGACGTGTCAATACAAACTGAACATTTCCTCTGAGTAAAGTCGACAACCAACAGCGAATTCAAGATAACATCCATGATTAACTACTGATACACTTTCACAAAATGTGGCTATAGTGACCCATTTTTATGTTTAAAACAATGGGAACAAAATTACTCACTACACTATAGGCACATGTAACTGACGAGTCCCAAATAGGATGAATAAAGCGTTTTGGATTATGCTGTTTTTAGCCAGTATCAGTTTAACTGGTCTAGTCACTCGACTGCCAACTACTGGGTCATGGGCACCAACACCGCCCCACTTATCGAAAATTCGGCAGACAGGTAGGATCATTGACTCTCTAGCACAATAGCTGTGACTGATGGCCAACTGCTTGGAAATGCAAGCAAATATGAGAATATTATTATGTCTTATTTACTTGGCATCAGAAAATTAGCCACATAAAACAATAATTTAAACGGAGCTAGAAAAATGTAGGAGGGAAACAACAGGGTGAAGCAGGTTAGCCTAATTATTATGCACATTCACAAAACCGTTCATTACTTTATATTTACTTTCAGTATTAGCAGAAACAAGACTGAATATGACATCGAACTATGAAGTGCAGATTGTCTGATTCGATTAATTTTTTGGCACATATGCCACCTACAAACCAACACAAAAGACAAAAGAAATGCATTTATTCATATCAGTTCACATGGACGACTATGGACATCGTTTCAACTGGGAATATGTGAAAATCCTTAACAGAGGAAGCATAAAGAATCACCAAGTATTCCCGGAAGCCTGGTATTCAAATCAGTTCGCTACAAATAGACGTGAATATAGATCAAATTTAGCAAAGGGAAAGGTCAAAAATTGGGTTAGCCAGACGATCATTATCAATAACTTGGAATATCATCACAAGGTTCTGATTTGACCACCCCTTACACTTTTCCAAACTACTTTTATGTTGGCTAACACTGTTCGACGAGGAAGGCATTGGTTCAGGCATGCGTAGAACGCATCTCAATCGATGTAACTTCACAACCTCATCGATTGACTTACTCTCCCTACCTAATATTCTATGCCTGACCTCAGTATTATTCGCCATATTATACCACTTGACACAGGAGATAGAACGCAAACATTTGTGAGCAAAGACAGCTACACTTTTTATAGCTACCATTTAAAACGGCCATATCTTACAGTCATAAAGAACGACAGCGAGAACTGTTACACAGTGCACATTAATCCTTTGATCGATAAGAGGACATCATGTCTACACCAGAGACGTCAGTTGGCAAATGCCACACGAGCCATTATATTCATGCTGTGATTCCATCAGCAATCCCTTCAGTAGGGTTTATTCAACCTAGTGGATAAGTAAAGTGGTTTAACACGCTCATCTATCACTTCATGCCTTAGCTTTAATCTAGAAGTTGGTGCAGACCAGTGTTGCAATCATAAGGAAATCTCCACGGATGACGAATCACACAGTAAAGGTCACCAAAAAAGACGGATATTTCACAGATAGATAACTATCTAAGCTCACGCATCTCATTGAGGCGATACTACTGAATATGTTCTTTAGAAAGACAATGGAAGCTTCGCTGTTAAGACAATCTACCTCAGATAATACAACAAAACGAAAATGGTTGGAGTAAGCTAAACGACAGAAACTAATATTCAGAAACATCGAATGAGAAGACTTATGTATTCATTCGCAACTCTAATGATTAATAATAATAATAATAATAATAATAATAATAAAAAAATGTAAACCCTAACCTCAAGATTAACACTCTTAACCATTATCTTGACAATCGCGTCAAATTGAGCTGCAAGAGCAAACAGTAAACGTGGTTGAATAGATTTCTTTCTGATTAAGGTCATCTCTTGATACACTAACCAAAGTAGATTGCGTAAAAGGCGAGTACGTAATTCACCAGTACCATTTTCTACATTTGACCACATTAGAGGAAGAAATTTTTTGGCAAGTAATTGTTGTACATACAAAAGTCCATTTGGTGATATCAGTGATAAGGAGGATGTTGTCTGATCATTATTATTATTACTGTTATCATTACTGCTATTAATATGGCTTTGCATCAATAAATATTCACTACGAATTGACGTAGTTGGATAAATCGAAGAACGAATGAAAGATAGACTGCTGGTCGACTTTTGTTGTGTTGAAGTCTCTGTAGGCAACGATGGTGGTTTACAAGAGGTTCTAGCCGTCCAAATTGATTGTATTTCGTTTAATATAGGAAAGAATAACATTAATGGACAACAGAAGGTATCTTGAGATGTGGACGTTGTTGTAGTAGTTGACTTTTTCCTTTGGAATGACACTGGTGATATAAGTGAAGTACCATTGGAATTGGATTTTCCTGAATGAGGCTTCCAACAGCATAAATAAACTATAAAATGAAATACAGAAACCATTTAATATTATGTTAAAATTGTTAGGATAAGCCTACGTCATGACTAAATTTGACCTAGCGAGTTATATTTTCATTGTAACTTTAATCTACACTCTATCCATTTTAACACCAACTTGTTGAAATGAGATCTATCTTAATTACCTGCACTAAATCTCAAGCTCGGATTATAATTTTACCTACGGAAACATTTCTCTCATATCTACCCAACCACCACTAGTTGTCCTATGGTTAGATTATGGGTTTTTGTAGGGATTTGGACCAATGTCAATGTAGATTTCGTCACGAAGCAACATTTGTTAGAGAGATCATTGTAAGTGAGAGGGCACTGAACAGCTGTTTCGTCTTAGTTTGGGAGTCTTAAACAGTGCGCACCCACAACCCTACGACGAATGGAACCTGGGATTTTCACGTTGCGAGATCAAGCTAGTTGACCAATCAGCCACTTGAGTCGGAATTTAATGACCCGTTATTTAGAACTTTGTCCTGGGTTCCATCCATAGTGCGGTCGCAGGTGCACGCTGATGAAGAGTCCCAAACTGGGACGAAACAGATGTCTAGTGAACTCTGGTGGTTTCACTATCTATCTGACTAAAGTCAGTTCATGATCAAGCTTGTAATCAATCAAATCCCGCACACCAACACTTGAGACTGCTAGAATTAAAGTTATACACTAAATTAACAATTTCACCCAGATATTCATCATCGCAGTCAACAGCTAATTCTCCAAAGTATGACTACTGACTTGTGGAGACGAATTCTATGGCATGAACAAACATTGTGGTGCTAGTAGACTAAAGGACCTTAAATAACAGTAAGATTCACTGTCGGATATACCGATGTAGTCTCAGTCTGAACTTAGTCCCAGGAACAAATATGTCATGTTCCAGGTTATGAATCACACGATTATCGTGTGAGGGCTGATGATACTACCCAGTCCCCCTGGATGAAGTAGGCTGACGGGAATTTGAACATCGGACTCCTAACTGAAAGTCAAGTGCTTAAGCTAGTAAGCCACGTCTCCACCAATGTTGTCTATGACCTGTTGGTCTAGCAATTCAACCACCGGATCATAAACACCAACCCTAATTTAATTTATTGAGGTTATTTTTTATCATTGTGTCTTATATAACAACTTAATCATTTTGGACAACACATAGGATCAGACAATTTTACGAAGATAATATCATGTTCACAGAGTCCAGTCCTACAAGTGTCCTTTATAATTGGAATAACTTAATTTGATGAAATTGCTAACACAATATCTCAGTGAAGCAGATTCAAATCATGGGGAGATATTAAGTGATATCTTACGATAACAGATAATGAGTATTGTTCGGTAATAAGGAACAAAATGTACTCAATCGTATTACATGGAAGTTTCTACCGGTCAATCGCTATTATCTGAAAGTCTTTTATGGCGTATACCAAACAAATCATGATAGAAGACAATGATCATATAAGAACAAAAGAATGCAAAATATAACTCAGTGAAGAAAATTCTCTTGGTCGACGGATCCGTCTTCAAAGGCTGTACAGTAGTATTTATAATTAATAAAGTGTCGTACAGTTGGCACAAAAAACGAGATACGAATTTTCAACACTAATTTCAAGTCAATACTTCTATACAGTTCAGAGATACTTGGTGCGTCACCAAAAGCATTTCTAACAGCTGAGTGTTGACTTTCATCAACACTTGCCTCGGCTTTGCACTGAAGATAAGATGGGCAGCCGGAGAGTATAATCAATAGGGAACTCTGTCAGTGAACCAGCGTGGGACTTACTGGTCAACAAATATAAAGAAAGAAATGGAGGTGGATTAGATATACACTGAGGACATGATATGACAGGCCAGGCTGTCGAGCAGGACCCGAATGGGAAGGAATGAAACTGGGTGACATGAAGAAGATCATATAAGAAATACTAAATGAAAGCTTGTGGGAATTCATGGAGGCAGTCAAAATGGATGTCAAAAACCGAGCACAATGATGAAGTGCTGTTGAAGCTCTTTGTCGCAATCGGAAAGCGAGGAACGAATAACGATAACAGTAGTAGGACGTGTAACAGTCTATAACGACATAATAGAGGAGGAGGAGGAGTGAGATCACTGGTACAGTGACCGGGATATCGGACAGGGAAGATAAAACTGACCAATAATCAACAGTAACCATTGGAAGTAAGCGTTTCTCACTCACCAGCCCTCCCCACTCACAACTTCATTATTCAACACTAGATAGTATTCCGTCTTGGTGAATAGAAATACAGTTACACAACCTCGGGAGGTGAAATTTTATTCGCTAAATTGTCTTCCTGTTTTCATCATCACTCAATAAGTTTTTAATACTTTTAAATATAAGCACACTTACACAACAAATGTTCCATTGAACTTGGCTCCAATGTAAATCCTAAGCTTAAAATCATTTGAGCACATGAACTACTTTGTAAACGATTTGAATTCATCAACTTTTCAAATAAACAAAACTTTGAAGTGAATAATGATGGTATGTTTGATTTTATTGTTTTATCGTTTGTAGTAGAAGTGGTACACCCAGCAGCAGCAGCAGGAGCATCAATACTGTTGTACAGAAGTGAGGGAGATGGACGATTGGCTAGCTGTTGGATTGCACGCAGAAAGCCTTCACAACCACCTTGATCTAAGAGATCTGATGTTTCAGACAATCTTTAAAGAAATTGTACAAGAACACATAGACCAGTATAACGTATTGTGGTATGTTTATTCAGTGAAAAGAGAAAAGAAACTAATACAAAATACATTTAGATAATTTAATATACACTGTAGACATTATTTGAGATCATCGAGAATTTCAAGTTTGATCACGGACTGGTATCAGTTAGAGAACTACTGTAAACCACGAAGTGTTGGACAGCCGTTTCGTCCTATCTTGAGAATCTTCATCGGCACGCACACATGGCCCTATCCATCGAGGATCAAACACAGGACCTTGAGGTTACGAAGAGAGCCCATTGACAATCAAGCCACCGAGATGGAGTTGAATGACTGACCCATCATGACCGATGAGGTCAGGGAATAGATATAGATATTTAGAGACGATGCGTTAGATGACAAAAGTTGCGAATACGTCACTGGCTGAATCTCTTGCTACTTCGTAACTGAACAGTCTGTGAGTAAGATAAAACATCTATTTTGTATTCCTTTGTTTTTATTTGTTCTCTAACTAAAGTCGATTACTATTAAATACCAATTTTAAAAGTCAGTAAAATCTTTAACTCAAAATCTCAGCATTACAAAACAAAAACGACCGGAAAATCAACAGACTTACGAATAGATCAGAACAAGTGTTGTTTCACATAAAAGCCGTAAAATCTCTCGACAATATGCAACGAAGTTGTTCAAAAACTTATCATATCCTGATACAGATTGATTCTGATCCTGTTGGTCGTCTACATTTAGTTTCTGTCTCTTCGCATCTGGACACTGTGGTTCATCGATGTTAGCAGAAGCAGTAGACACACTTGGGATTGAACACACACAATTAACAGACGATTGACTTGCTTCAGTTTCACAGATATCAATTAAATAAACCAGTAATTGTTCAACATTTGAACCAACTACAAATGGGAAGAAAAGAGATATGCTTAACAGTATTTTTAAAATTTGCATTTAAGAATGGTATACAACTGTCAATCAAAGGATGTGTATACTCCCCAACAGTTCGCTTCCCCTCCTCCCTTGTGACTATTAGCGTAACATAGCCTTCCCAAGTGGAAGATATGAAAAGGCTACCTATCTTACATCATAGGTGCCTGCCTTCTATCTCCTGTGTTGAGTGGTAGCATAATAAGATGAACAATATTGAGGTTAGGCGTCGAATGCTAGGTAAGGAGAGGAAATCAACTGATGAGGTTATGAAGTTATATCGGTTGAAAACATTTATTTCCCGATACGAATTTAAAACAAGCAACAAAGGTTAATAAAGCAGGATTTAATGAATTCATCAAATTTCGGTAGAACTCGTCAGTTGAATACTCAACATACACGGATATATATAGTTTTGAAATTACATTGGGAGATATAAGACTGATAAGCAAATAGACTACATTGAATTAGTCGGGTGAGAATGTTTTCCAGGTCATGTTCAAATATATCGGTTGAGATGGTTAGAATTATTGTTACGCATGCCTGTCTAGCCATAGTCTTCTTCGACGGGCAATGTTAGCTGATATAGGGTCAGGTTGGAAAAGAGCTAGTGATGGTCAAACGAAAAAATAACCTCATTGGTCAATGAAATCCACAACAGTTAGTTTAAGCCAGCCAGACAGCCAGCCACGTAGGGAAGTGTGGACTTCCTGACTGGTTGGCGTCCTCGGGATGGTAAAAACCAATGAGGGCTGGAGACAATTGGTGATATGGCTCAAAATCGTTCTCAATGGCTTGCGCAGATGCATTCACTCTTTGTGATTTGCCATATCGAATAAAACTCCATTATTCTTCCATATTACTATTCTTTTTGCCACACACTTATGTTTATTATCTCTCTTTTGAATCTCTCTTTACTCTCTTCTCTTGCTTTGTGTGCTACAAGGAGGGAGTGTGGCAATTCAAATTGATGCACATCTGTGCAAAGTTCTACGTTGAAACCAGTCAGTCAGAATGACAAACAGACAGATAGTATACACATTCACATGAGTTAGCGTAGCTGGCGTAACGATTCCAGTTGTTATATGTGGACACCACTGATACAAGAAAAATAATAAAGGTAAATAAAAATTGAAATCATACAAACAAGGGTTACTAAATGCCCTGGTACATAAAACGAAACAGACAGGCCAACAAGAAAACATGAGTCATAGTTTTCAACATTGAACTATGTGCAAAAGTACAGCGGTTCAAGTTATCATACTTCTGAAAACCACAAATAAAGGTATGATAAACGGAAATGTGCAAGAGAACGAATAATTACGTGAAAAATTGTGAGAAATTAACAAATCTAGAGCAGTGTGCATACAAATTGGGTGCATCTGTACCCCTGAGAACAATTTTAAGCCATATCATCACCAACAGCCTCCAGTCTCAAGGACTCCAAGTTTACAATCCTTTAAGTCACTCAAACCAACTGTTAAGGACTTCATGAATTTATGTCAGGTTTTAGTTTACTACTTGCTTTACTTTACTTCAGCTATCTCCTACGGGAGGATGAGCCGGCTTCATGAACGAGAGTTTGACTATCTCTGTATCTTTCCCAATCTAATCTCATGTCAGATAAGATTGTTCGACGAGGAAAGCAATGGCTTGACATACGTAACACGCGTCTTAGCCATCTCAGTCATGCAGTATAGTAAGAAAACGTGACATTGCAACTCAGATGAAGATTTAGCAACTTCCGAGTCACACTACTCAGGTTCTTCAACCATATAGTTCAGTCGTATCTAGATGACAGAGTTATAAAGACAATTAGATGACAATTATGGATCACATTCCAAGGCAATGGAGAAACATACACTATATGTATATGTGGCTAATGACAGACACTATATACTTGCTAAAAAAACTTGACATGTGGAAGAACAACATTTGAATATCTGTAAATTAATAGTTCATAGTTGATCCGGTGCATTGATTTAGATGACTAGGACACGTAGTACACATACCAAACCATAGCCTTCCTTGTCCGGCAATCTTAGACGATATATGATTAGCTTGGAAATGAGCTAAGGCGGTCACACCGGGCGTCTTACATAGCCTCTCCTGAGGAAGTCCTACTCACTGCCTTCACGTGGCGGAGGTGTTTTTCACCAAAGTGAGAGGGCGAAAGCGGATGCCCGGCGCTCTTCACCGGGTTGACTGTCCATTGGATAACAGTCTAGGGGAGATGGCTAAACCCTGATTCCAAACCTCCAACGACTGGCGTATGAAGCTCACTGGCAGACATATGGACAAAGGGCTTGTTGGATGTCCTGGATGTCTGGCCCCATTCAAAAGGCGTATGAACCGAACTCCGGCCCCCGGCTGCCAATGGATAGTGGACTCCCTACTCCACTCCTACTGCCTTGTAGGTCACACTTGGTTGTGTAAAGGCTAGAGCTGCACTCTCAAACAAAAGGCCGAGCGATTTTGGGGACATCACTCGTACCAAATTCCCATGAAACTTCATGAACTCTCTTACAACGTTGCCTTCGGTGGTTTGGCCATGTTCTGCGCCGACCAGATGACGATCTGGTCAAATCAGTTCTAAATCCCTCGTCATTACCATCTTGGCGATGTCGCACGGGTGGACAGCTGAAAACATGGCTTGGTACAGTCAAGGCTGATATGGAGTGCCTGGGGTTACAAACCGTCTACGGACTCCGTCTGTGGAACAAGAATTGGATAACCCTGTCGCAAAACCTTGCATCAGATCGCCGCACCTGAGCAGCGATGATTCGAGATGTTCATGAAGCCGGCTTATCCTCCCGTAGGAGATAGCCGAAGTAAAGAAAGAAAGAGACACCAAAACGTGACATTAATTCATAACCTTTATCTGTTGGTTTGAGTGATGTAAGGAGGTGTAAACTGCATAGTTTAAGCCGTCAAAAGGCTAAGAACCAATGACCAGAGGCTGTATGTGATACGCCTAAAGATTGTTCGCAGTGGTACAGATGCATAGCCATACCTTGTGATTTTGCGGGTATATTAAATCCTTATTATTCTTCAAGGAGTTATTTGTCCTCTTGTACATTTCCGTTTACATCATAGTTCTTTGGCATTTTTTTCGTCTACCTTTGTGAGTGCTTTTCAAGAGTGCGACAACTTGAAATCCCGTAATTTGATGAAGTATCAAGCTGAAAATTCAGTCTGTCACTATATTGTTCCTTTATATGTCTGCTTTTAATTTTGGAATGATTAACTTTCGCCTTGTAGATAACTTGCAGAGATAAATCAATCACATGGAGGTAAAGAATGACGTCAATTAGAAAGACATTCATTCAAAAATAGAACATTCCGTCGATCCTGATGATGAATTTGCAAAAGGATGAGATGTTGTCAACACTAAGTCCCACTGAAGGTTCCCCATGACTTTCGGATGCATAACGCTAGGCTTACTGAAGTAAAATAAAATGTACTGTATTCATAAATTACCAAACTGATGTATAAAAACAGGTAAGCCCCAACTCACATGGCGCTTGAATTATTGCTTTAACTATGAGATGTAGTAGGCTATAAGCAGTTTGTTGATTTAATTCACATTGATTTTGAAATAAACTAAACAATTGTAATGGAGTTAACGAGACTAAATTATCAATTACAATTGATATACTGACAGCTTTAATACGTTTAATTAAACTTAGGATCCATATGAGTGAACTTGGTTGACGACGTCCAGACTCAAGGGAACAGTTGGCTGATTGACGTTCATTGAACAACAGTATACTACCACCAACACCACAAGCAGTTGGCATATAATATAAATCATTTAAATTAGGTCGAAGTGACTGGACATTTACTGGGACTTGAAGTAACGGAGGTCGATGTAAAGGCGCTTCAAACTGTCTGGGGAAATTAAATCGGAATGGCATGGAGTTCGGTTGACCAGGTGGTAAACCTGTATTCATAATATTGTTACTATTATTACCACCACCTGGTGGAATCGGCATATGACGTGGGCCTGGGAATGTTGGATTCATATTTCTTGGCGGTAAGGGCACGGGGACTGTATCTTGTTTAAAGGTTTAAAAAAAAAAGAAAACAGTAGAAGCATTAATGCATTTATGTTTCTTAAAAAAAGCAGTGGTGTAGTGGAAGAGTACTGGGCAGATAACACACAGTTCTGAGGATCCAAACGATATTCTGATAACAGTCTTTGTGTGTCAGTGGTTCAGCAGTACAATGTTCACCAACCAACCACCTACTTGGCCTCCGACACACTCCTAAGCTTAATCAAGCCACAAGCGAACTCAGGAAAGACGGAAGGATAGGGGTGAGATTAGCAACCCTACCCTGTAAAAAAAGCAACACCGCTGCTACTAAAATGTCAAGGCCTTAGGCCTGAGGCCCTATATTCCACTCGGAAAGCAAGTAATGAACATCTAAATATATTAATAATAACTTTTAGAAAACCATGTACACCACAAAAACAACTTACACCGAGGTAACATCGGCGCGATATCCATTTCATTCGGCAGGCATGGTGAACGAAACGGAACAGGCATACCAGTATAATTAAAACCTTTGGAGAAAGGTTGTGGATGTCTCCAAGATCGATCCATGCTTATATCAGATGTTGGATGACTACTGCTGCCTAATGGTATTTGTTGTTCTGGAGGAGATTGTGGTGGAATTGGGACTGTGATTAAACTTAGACTGATTAGAAGATTGAACAATTTCATTTGTTGAGTTAAACACACTTGTTTATCCAGACTGTCATTATCATCTGGGGGAGTTTCATTTGGTGAAATAGCCACGGCATAGGAGAAAAGTGGCTCCATTTTAGTACGTAACCACTTACCAACAAATTCTGGGACTGAATCACCAAGAAATAACAAGTGTGTTAAACACACAGTCATCTATAAATGCACATTAGAGAAAGGAATAAATATGCAAATTAATTTAGATATACAGTACAAAAAGAGTGAAAATTATTGTCATTGGAATTTTCTGATTTAACACCGATTGAAGTAATCACTCTCTGTTGTTACATGGGTTTCTTTTACAAACTCCTAGATACTGATTATTGTCGAATTCTCTTTGTATACATAGGGGGAAATCTCAGTGAGTGATGATTTCCGCCACTGACTCATGTCAGATAATAGAATTGTAGCAACAAGGTAACATCTGTTACACGACTCACTCAACAACTACTTACATTTTTATGCAGTTGGATTAATGATGCTACTTGGCTGTCTGAATCTCAGTAGGTGGAGAGAGGCATCACTGTTGTTATTAAGACACAAACTTGGTACATTATGGGAACCAAGAGGTGAACCACACAGAATTTGTACGAGGGCTAGGATACTGCCTGGACACCCAGATTAAAACAGATAGTTGTCTTAAGAGGCCACCTCTCCTCCAAGCCTTTGGTTTGCAGTTTGGTCCACAAGGCAGCGGAGCAGTGTCAAGAGCTGAGTTTCCATGGTTACCGGCAACCAAAACAGGTTCATACATCGTTCGATTTTTTCGGATTCTGGCGCCCATGTACGCTATAGGTTTAGAATCAGGGTTTTCCAGCTCCTCTAGGTAGGACTGCAAAATGTGCGTAAACACTTAAATCAAGGTTACTCACCAATTGTGTATTATTAATAAATCCCCACGGCTACTAACCTATGAGCCATACATTTATTGTATGAGAGCTGGTGATAGTATCCTGTTGTTCAGGCTGAAATATGTGGAGTGGGATTCGACTCCTGAACCCATTGGCTGAAAGTTGAGTGCACGAGCTAATCAGCAATATTCCCACAACTATGTGAATACTTACACGCATATACACACATTAAGTAGAGTGAACAATTTTTTAAGTCCAAAGTTCGCTGAAGCCACCAGACGGTCCTACAGACCACCTCAAAAGGTAGGTCTAGTTCACTGTCTAGTGAACAAACCGGCAAATGGCTGACAAAGCGTATTCGTTATATCAGAGTTAACAATATCAACAATCTGAATGATCTTCAGTAAATGGAGTGCGGTTCAAACCAATAATCTGCAGAATGAAAATCGAATATTGAATATAAATAAGCCACATGTATACAGGTTTACACTGTATACATACTATCCCTTAGAAATGTAATGAAATTTAAGGAGCGTTGCATACAAAATGGCATTCATATATGCAGATCCATTGATTATCACGCTCTACATACATTTACAAATGATTATAAAATAGTATGTTAAAGTCAAAGTTCATGTAAGATGGTAGCGCTTATGACTAACAAAGCGTTACGATACTGTATTCTGTGGTACTAAAAAGCACTCCTCAGCCTATATAAGATTCGATGGTTGAATCAACCTACATCTGAAGCTCAAACAAACAACTACCTCTCCAAACGTCACTCTTTCTACACCCGAAACTAATAAATCATGTGAAGCGCCTGTCATGCAACTGCTTTCAGTTGTCATGTTGAGTTTATTAAATTGGAAATTACACATAATGTTGCTTATTTACTGCAAGCAAAGTGACTTTCATAACTTCACTGCCTATTGACCAACGCTATGGCATTAGTAACGATAAGTGCTTGTTAGATTAGAATCTCATCGGAGAATCTTACATACGACGAAAGCGGACGGGATGAATTTCACCACCAAACTCCTCACTAAAGAAGTTGGATCGCAATGCAAATCGCTTGAAAAGCATTCAGCTCAACATGAATAATAATATTAGGTTAATTTTGCATTTCCCGTTGACTGATTATATTAAATCGAAATACTCAGTCTCTGTTAATATGTCCGCTCCTAGTACGGACGCTCTGAGGATGTCTCAGGATTACCACTGCTGAGCACAAATGGAATTCAGGATGTACACTTCGTCCTATATGAGATTCGTCACTCGACGTACCTGCAATCTCTAGTAAGTGGTGGTATTTCCATTGATATGCGAACCCAGCACAGAACATTTTAGTGCGATGAAAGCAATCGATGAGAAATGCAAAATTAACTCAAACAAATAATAACAGACACCAATTGCACAGGAGGTGGCCCAAGTGGCCTGGCGGGTAACACGCCTTGGCGTTTGAAACGATGGATACTAACTGGGTCCACTTACTGGGGATGGCAGAAACATCCGACTGACGAATCCCAAATAAGACGAAATGCGCATTCACTGCTAGTCACCATCCACCAAATAACATGGTCAACCACAAATTGAAAATTCCAACATTTCGAAATCTTGAATTAGGAAGCTACACTAGACATTTAATGTATTAACAGTAAGAGCAATAAGCTTTTCGTCAACTACACATTTGAAGCGTGAACTAGAAAGCCGATACAACACCACCACAACCAACAAAAAATAGCAAAAAGACATCATACCCAAAAATTAGAATCAAAATTCCATTGTGAAAAGTAACCAGCCAACGTGTCTGGCAGTAAAATTGACTGGAGAGTATTTGTTCCCATCGGATTCATTAGTGCAGATGTAAGTATTAAGTCACACAATCGATTTAACTTTTTTAATCCTGATGACATTAAATTCACTTGACGTGTTGTTTGATATAACAGCCAAATTATTATCCAGTGTGGTAGGACATAATTGGCTAGGGAAGAAGAATTCTTAGGATTATCAAACGAAGTATCCCATACTGGTACTGTAGAACAAGACAGTAAAGCTTGTACACAACTCATTCGGACATCTGGACCCTGGGGAAATAATCAAAAAATAAAATTAATATAATGACAAAGGTAGACATAACACTACATATGCCTGAGTTCAACCTTACTTTTTTTATTCCTTCACGTTCCTGGTGGAACATAGGGCTTCAAGCTAGAAACTTGAAGTTTCGGTAGTAGTGGTGCTTATTTTTACGGGATGGAGTTGCTAGCCTCATGCCTAACTTTCCCTCTTTACCAGTCTTATTACTGGTTTAGCGAGGTAAAGGAGTGCGTCGGCCGGGGATCGAACCCCGGACCACATGTGTGGTCGGCGAGCACTCTAGTGCTGTGCCACCGACGCACTACAGACGGTATGGATGATGTTAAAGGCAGGATCGGAAAAGTAAGGCAGACGTCCATTAATCTGATATCAGTGTGAAAATCTACTGTACTCAGCATAAGGAAGAAGATCCGAATTCACAACATTAATGTCAAATCAGTGTTCCTCTATATGCTTCAAGAACACACGTGTTTCGAAAAGCATTTTTAACAGGCTACTGCAAAGTTTCGTCGCTAGCTGCCTTTACTGCCTCGACACCGAAGATCAGATGGCAAACCAGAAAAAATAGACAACAAAGAACTTCGGTAGATAGAGAACCAACCAATAAATATTCAGAAGTAAATGGAGATGCATTGGGCATACGCTGACGAGACATATGACATCACTCCACATATTTACGAGTGGAACCCGAATGGGGAACAGTGAGTTTGGCGCCCGAAGGTGACGTAGACGAGATCATGTGCGGAGAAGATGAAAGCTTGTGAGAAGCTAAAAAGGACTTGCAGATAACAGAGTGAAATGGGCTTACGCTGGTGAAGTCATATGTTCCACTCGGAACCCAGGGGAGTAGTAATAATAACAATATAATATATTATGATGTATCCTACTCCTTTAAAATACGGCCGTTAGAGACAGAAAAATACCCATTGAACAGTAACAGGATACCAACATTGTGGGCTGCAAGTATTTCCCACCACCTCACTGTACATGGAGAATTCTTATACATAACACATTTAATATTGCTGCCAAGTTTGTTAATGCAGCTTTTTATCAAGTCAACTCCCCCCCCCCCCAATCGATGCCCTGAGGTAGTAACTTATGCCACAGAAAGGTAGAGAACCATATTGGTCATTAAGTTTCTACTATCCACACGCATGTAATAAATACGTTCTGCTAAGGTTACAACGTTCCACTTGCAGACTAACTAAACTAACGTGTATAACTACAGAACCAAACTTATAGAGATGTTATCAGAATTCAGTACTTGCTACAGGAATAAGAAGCATAGGACAGTTCTTTCGTCCTAGTTTAAGACTCTTCATCAGTGCAAATATGGGTCAGTGAATGATTCAGTATCAGACCACCGACCACTAGGTGGAATACACGGCAAAGCAACTGGAAGGCTCACTGATATAAAAGTGAAAGTGATAAAAATCTTGATAATCAAAAAAAAAAAATTTGCATCATAAAACGTACCAGTAAACAATTACATGTGATGTTCAGCAGATCCAATAGTATAGGACATTTCATCCAAACCCCAATAATTTGTTGATTTACAACAGAAGTTGGACTTAAATCTAAATCGATTGTATGTTCAGTGGTTGAATCACTCCTATTCAATAATGAATCGGTTGAATCTAACCTGTTCAATCCAGAAGATATTTGGTCATTTCGTGAATAACTACTTAGCTGAACATCAGCGGATTGTTGTTGATTGTCTGAATTGATAGATGAGGACTTGATTTCACTAGTCTCAGTTTTATTAATACTACTACTAATTATATTAACCTCAGATGTTTGTACTGCATCTTCATTAAATCTGACGTCTCCACTTCTTACTTCCCCTACCTCTACTTTTTCTTCTTCACTTTCTTGTTCTACACTGTCTTCATCACTGGTAGAATTCGAGGACGACTCAGAGTCCGATACAAATATCAGATGATTACGATGATGATCGGATCGATGTTTCCCATAACGTCGACGATTGATTCCTTTAACACTATTTATTTTATTACAATCATTTATAGTAGAAGTAGTGGATATGGAATTGTTGTTATTATCAATATTTCTTTCAGATTTATTTGACGCTAAACGACTGGTTGGATGTGTTTTGTGCACACGTTTCGCTGGCATTGATGTTGACGATGATGATGCCTTATCTGAATGATGACTAGGAGACTTAAGTAAATCCATTAGGTTTGACAGAATCTGAGTTGGGGCAGAAGTACACACAGGTCGAATTAAAACAAGACACCAAGAACATACTGCTGCATAGAAATGATCACTTATTCTATCTTCAGTTGTCAGTTCATGAATCTGGAAGATAAAAAGTATAATAGTATCTAAGATGATAACAGAAAAAAAAATACAAATCGATGGAAAAGCCCTTCTTTGCGATGAAACTTCCTGTAGAGCTATGGCTCACCCGTGTAGGCTCATGACTCCGAATTACTAGGTCACGGGGTTTGAACTTCATTCCACCTATCCAGGTTTGAGTATCATCATTAGCTCTTACACAACAGGCTTTGCTTAGGACCAACTGAACGGAAATACTAATGATTGTTGAGTAACAGTTGATACCCAATCCGCAGAGAAATATGCAGTCTATGGTGAAATTTCACAGTGGGTTGTGTTTTGAAGTTAAACATATTTACATCACAATACATGACCTACTTGATACTATAAACACCGTTAATACTGCAAAACTAATACCTAGAATATATCTACTACTGTTGAGTGCAATGAGTAACTAAAAACCACTCACATTAAATAATATGGCTGATTGCTCAGCCAAAAAGTGCACCCTGTATTTAATAATAATAATAATAATAATAATAATAATAAAGCTTTATTTCAGACAATATGCGAACATATGGCACAAAAATTTTCAGAGACTTTAGTTCCAAAAAACTTTTTTCTTCATACAGTATTTACATGTAAAGTAATAATCTGAAGTATATCTTCATTTCTTTGAAGAATTGCGTAGTGTTTACTTGAAAGCGCAAATTCATGTGCAGATCATTTGATATAACTGGGCGATTAAAGCTATGATACATGCAGATGAAATTAAGCATTTTGTTGGAGGGCAATTTCAGTAGCCCAGTGATTTAAGCAGGCCACCTATTAAAGACTAGACCGTAGTAGACGCCTTCACGTCATTCGATAACTGAATCACCTACCAACGTTTACGCAGTCAGACAGCTATGGACTCCCACAACGTAACTCCGTATGTATAGTTTTCAGGGTAAAACCTTTCTAATCTTTCTCCCTAGAGCAGAGAGGCGGTAGTATTGTTGGCTTACTGGTCATCCGAGAGAAACGCCTTACTGTTGGTCACATCCCTATTCGTCAGTATTACGACTTCGTTCTCATTAAAGTGTGAGCGACTTACAATACGACGGTAACTGCTTTTAGTCTAACTACTGTTCAGAAGACGTTTCTGGAATGGTAGGACCTGCAAGAATATTCCTTTGGTCAAGACCTCTCATCACGTAACACTAGCAGTTATTATTTGGGCTACATCGTGGTGGTGATGTTATTAAAAGCTTCAGACTAAAAATTCAAAAACTTTTTATTTATCGTTACTGATATGCCTCAACTACACGTAAATGACACTCAAATTGATGCGTTAGAAGGTTTGCAGTAGCTGTAACATATATGGTTCTCAGGACCCACGCATATTCTTATCCACCTCACAAAAGGTCACATCTATTTTCTGAATCAATAATAATAATACCAGTTGACTTCCCAAACTTCGACATGTGGAGCAGGATTCGAAACAATGATCAACTGATATCAATGCCTATAGAAATATCCCACATCTTTAGACTTGACGATTCAACGCAAACCATGAGGTTCCTTGTTGCTAGACTGAACCTTCAAAGGAATCACCATTTTTTGTACTGAGGCTCCTTTATTGTTTTACGGATAGCTGAAGCCGCCGAATTCCAATACCATCACCCTGCGTTTCTGTAGGCACAAAAGTATTTTTAAGATTCTGTTAAAAAGTTTTAGGATAAACTGTCAGTTTCCATTGAACACATTGAAGTCTAACAGCCAAGTGTGTGATCTGTCAATAAGCTAAGTAATACAAAGAGTCAATTACCAGAAGGCTCTACTATCCAATTTTTGCTGCTTATTGACGCTCAATAGTTAGGTGTATACACAATCCTCAGTGTATTAAACATAAATCGTAGGGAGATTTGAACCGGTATTTCATTGTTAAATGACTGAGTGACTCAGTTTCAACATAGAACTTTGTACGAAATTGCAGCACTTCAAGTTGCCATACTACATGTAGCACACAAAGACAGGGAAAAGGGAGAAAATAGATGTTCAAAAGAACTACAATGAGTAAGAAATGTCTAGGAGAAAGAATAGTAACATACAAAACCATGAGGGTTTAATAAAACTGAGGAATTGCAAAGAGTGAATGCATATGCACCATTGAACACGATTTAAGGCCATATCAGTAAAAGTGTCCAGCTCCTGGTTCTTAGCATCTCGTGGCCCCCAGCCAGCTAGACAGTCTTCACCTTCCTACATGGTTTAAACCGATAGTCAAAGACTACATGGACTGATTCCAAGTTTTGGTTTGACCACCACCATTAAAAGAATTAACAGTATGTTACTCATACTGCGAAGACACACAAAATCAACTGTTATCACCAGGAGCTCACCGTTTGCAATAAATCACGTAATACAACTTCAGCTTTGTTGAAATTTTGACTTTCAAAGCTTGAATATCGACCAGTATTACCACTCATTTCATATGATCGATTCAATGGAGAATTCATTTGCCACCAAGTAACAAAATAATCAATATATAATGGTGCTAAATGATCTAGTATAGCTAGACGTGATACTGGACATCCTTTCAATAGAATATTGACAGTTTCATTTAAGCATTGCCATTCCACTGGAGATTTTTGTAAAGGATTCTGCGTTGAAGGTAGACCGGCAGATGTACCAACACCACCAGCTCCTGCAGATGACGACGCTGCTATAGGTCCACCGCCAGCACCCGTAGGAGGAGTACTACACGCTGAGATAAAACGTTTCCAGTGAATTCCCAATGAAACCATACTGTTCTTATGATAGATAGTGAGAATAGATCCTCGAAAAGATAATTAATCTAAAAAATGAGAAAAGATCGATGACGTAATTGAGCTTTGAAAATCAACTCAAAACAAAAGAAAAACATATCATAAATAGAATGAATTTATTTCTTATACAACAGGTACAAAAATGAATGTATGTACATACAGGAGAAAGAGTGAGATAGGACGAGACAAGGAAAGAAGGATGAATGTATTCGACTAAGTTAAAACTCTTGAGCAGTAAAATATTCTGATTGACTTGAACATGAAAACAATGCTTCTTGAGATGATAACGGTGAAGGCGTCAGAGCACACGGCCATCGGTCGTTAGCCTCATTGGTTTGATGGTGACTAGTTACAAGGGCATCAATATAACGCTTTTTCACTTTATCCAACTGTTTATCAAGCTCACTATCTCGTAATTCACTCAACAGACTTTGATGTCTCCCCTCTTCTGACTTCCGATCCTCTGATATATTGTTAAGAAATATTGAATTGGATAGTGATGAATTCTCGGTATCATTTTCTAATTTATAAGCCTTATTATAACTCCATATAGTCTTTAAATCACTCAACAGATGCTTTGAAATGTCTTTCGTTTGGATCGAACTATCTTCTGTTACACTCAAAGGGTGGACAGGAATGAAATCACACCTATCACCATTATTAATGATACTGCTACTGCCTTCATTGTTGTAATTAATGTTGTTATTATTCCGGGTGTCATCTAACTGACTATCCAACTCTATTGAAGTTGATTTTTTTGGGATAATACTTGACAGATTCACTGAACCAGTGTGATTTCTTATCTGTGAATTGATGTTAACTTCTGCATTGCTATCGCTGGTATTTCTGGCTTCATATCGTTTATTCTTTGGCTTACAGCTAATAAGTTCAGCTAGCCAATTGTTAACTACTGAACAACTATTTGTCTCATAATTATCCAACAGATCATGTCGACGACTAATGGTGGTAGTAGTAGTAGTAGTACCATTCTCTTCTGGTTCTTTTAGATATGCACAATAATTGAACAGATCGCCGTAAGATGTAAGCAAAAGCGTATGAAATTGATTCCGACCAGAATCTGTTGATGAATAGTATGTTGTTATCCCACAGATAGAACTTTGTAGACGTCTAGTCAATAATGGACTCTGCGTATTTGTCTCCAGTGTATTATTTGTTGGATATGATGTGATTAAACTTGTCAACGGCATACCTGATATAGCTGGACCAATATATTGTGGACCAGAGGAGGAATTGAAATTCAAACCAAATGTTGACATATCTGAAGAGTATTGGGATGTCATTGATACTAAAAATTGTGGAATATTATTATCATCATCATCAGTATTATCCATTGATTTCTTTTGCTGATCTAACTTTGTCCAGTTAACATGAGCAATAGGTCTAGCAAGATTATGTGACCAATGCAAGACAGTTCGATTAGGCATACGTTTATCCAATAGAAACATACTATAACAACCACCAGACAATACGTAGACATCACCAAACCAGTTGGGTGAACAGTATGTTATATAGTCAGTCGGATTGAATAAAGAAGGTTTGTCTATAGTGTTAAATAACTGGAATGCATTCGATGACGAGGTACGAGTGTCAAATATTAAAATACGACGTCTAGTTGTTAAACACAATTCTCCAGGATAACTTCCAAATCCTGCACGTAACCAATAATGATTGGAATGTTGTTGAAGTAAGCGTAATTTCCGTGTTGAGTACTGATAATATGACTCAATGTCCATTTGAACTTGATCTTCTTTTAATGAAGACGATGATAATTCACTAGTTTCCAAGCATATATTATTCTCCTTTGCTATTGCTTCTCTAAAATTACCTAAATTCAAATGACCTGACCATATAGGTAGATAACGATCATCAGAGTTATACAAGTGTATACTGGCTTTACGATTACAATTTTTATCTAAATAATTCCCCGCCATACACCATTCTCCTGGTATCCATTGACTCATGCATACACTGTTGACATGATGGTTTGCTGTAATCGGTGCCACCATTCGAATATCCTCAATACTTGTCCCGGATAAATCATATTCATCCACCTTCATCTGCATACAGACAACGCTTTTCTTACTCCTCAATGATGACAAAAGACGACCAACTATATCAATTTTTCCATTTTTTTCATTGAAACATGCATCAATTTCACAAAATGATCTAGAAGATAGTTTAGTTAGTGTTGGGGTAACGGTGAAGAAACGATCTGATTCACTGACAGTGGTAGTCTTTAATAAATTTGATTTTTTACCTATAGATATAGCATTTGTCCTAGGTGAAGTCCATAAAATCATATCAGATTGATCTGTAGTAGTAGCAGCAGTGGAACACGATGAATAGTAATTGGATTTTACACTGCACAATAGACCATTTCCAAGGTAATTAGGATTAACAACTCGACTTGCTAGTCGGATAACAAATGGATCAAAGCATGCTAATAGCCGACTATTGTTCGATTTCAGGAAAACATCATTCGACTGATTCATTAATGATGATGACGATGAAGTTGAACAGTTAGTCGGATAAAGAAGTCTACTAACAGTACCAGGTAAGAGTTGTTCTGTTTCCTTGTTAGTCTTCTTCACTGGCAATTTCCTGGTTAGCTTACTTCGTTTGGCTGGTGGTCGGAGGTCGCTATCAGTATTATTATCATTGACGTTATCATCGTTAGAGGCAATATCGATAGTGGTAGTTGAGGTGGTTAATTTATTTGCCGATAGTGGTATAGGCATGAAAACATTGGCTTCCACTCCTGATGTAAGTAAATTCTGTATTTCCTTGATGACTTCATTTTGTGCATTGACTGAATGACAATTATTTAAACCTTCTTCAGCTTTAACAAGTAATTCATGAATAACATAGTGTACACGTTTATCAAATTTGACATCCATACTTGTCTTTTCATTATCACTCGTAATATCGTCATTACTGCTACTACTAGTATTATTGATATCAGTAGTATTGGTAGAAGTAGTAGTAGTAGTAGTAGAGTTAGTACCAGTAGCAGAAGTAGTAGTTTTATTAACTTGACGATCAATCTGCATAAATTTCGAGACATTAGCACGTAATAAACCTTGTAGTTTACCGCACAAAAATGCCGCTGATGCTTGTTCGCCTAGAATACTATCATTCAGCAAATATTCAAAACCATAATCACGAACAGTACACAAATCAATTGTCTTCTTTGGCTGTTTATCAGATTCTTCTTCGTTTTCTTCTCCCTGCTGTCCACCAGTGTAAATGTCAGCTTCATTCATGATTAAGAATTTGCCTTGTGTCAACTCAGGTGAATAATGTGTTGGCAAGAGTGGAACAGGTGGATGACAGTATTCAAGTTTCCCGACTAAATTTTTCGACATTTGACTAGTGATCTATGAAGAGAGAAATACAGACAGACAGGGGAAATCAATAAATATTGTTGAAATGAAACTGATGAATATTTGTAAGACATTTTATTGACTAATAATTATTTATTTATTGTTCCCTTGGGTTCCCAGCAGTACATCTCTATTTCACTCTATACTGTCCAGAATTTTTCAGATCCGTTGGGATGGACAAGCTTCTTAGGCAGCCGTGAAGCCGTGACTTATGTATGTACTGATATGATAGTCTTATTAGACAGTTTCGATTGGTTTAGTTATGGCTTAATTTCCTGGGGATTTTGATGTCATACGACGAATCAAATATGTTTTACTGAAGTCTTAGATTTCTGAGATTTAAATATAATATACCATGTATTTGTTGTTGTCGTTCCAGTCGTCATTTTTCCAACTCCAGCTTTTGCGTGTATCTCAGTGTGGGAAATAATATTAAGTGGTCAGTTGGTTATAGTGTCGTGTTCTGGAGGTACATTGTAATCAAGTTATATGGACCCAAAACCCAGTGAAACTCCTTTATAATATATTTCGACTGACTGACTGACTAGTTACAATATAGAACTTCGCACCGATGTGCAGTAGTTTGAGTCGCCGCACTTCACTAAGCGCACACAACAAGAGAAGAAAGTAAAAGGTAATGCAAAGTAGAGACAGTACACAGAGATATGAGGCAAAAAGAATAGTAATATCAGAGGACAATATAGTTTTGTTGGGTATTATAAGTCACAAGGAGTAGATGCATCTGCGCCATTGAGAACGATTTTGAGCCATATCACCAGTTGTTTCCAGCCTTTATTGGTTCTTACCATTCCGAGGACCCCAACCAGGAAGTCTGCACTAACTGTTGTGGATCTCACTGACCGATGAGGTTATTTTTTCGTTTGACCGCTACTGTCTCTTTTCCAACCTGACCCTGTTTCAGCTAACATTGTCCGTGGAGGAAGGCGATGGCTAGGCATGCGTAACACATGTCCTAACCATCTCAACCGATATTATTCCACAAACCCATCAATTGATTTCCTCTCCTTACCTAGCACTCGACGCCTAACCTCAATATTGCTCACCCTATTATACCATTTCACACGGGAGATAGAACGCAGACAAAGACAGCTAGCCAGGCTTTTCAAGTCTTCCACTCTCAATGGCCATGTCTCGCTACTATAAGGGAGGTTAGAGCGCACTGCTGAGAAGTACACACGCCTTTTGGTCGAAAGCCGGATATCACGTCTACGCCAGAGATGGCGTAGACTGGCTTATACGGAACTAGTCTTCTGCATCCGTGCTGAGATTTCGTCGACATTCAACCCGTTGGGGCTGATGCAGCTTCCCAAATAAGTGAAGAGGTCAACACGCTCTACCACTTCACTCCCTATTTCTAAGCTAGGAGTCAATGTAGTCCAGTCCTGTAGCATCATCCCACATTTGGCGGGAGCGAATCGTATGCCAAACATTCGCAGATTACAGCTCAAGGTGTTCAGAAGAGTCTGCTGGATTTTGTCAGCGTCTTCACTTAGAAGGACTATATCATCTGCATATTCTAAGTCAACGAAATTATCCCCTGATAACAAGTCAATT